TGAAGTGGTTTCTTTAGTTTTCATTTGCATTTTCCTAATGATTAATAATAATGAGTATCTTTTCATGTGTTTTTTGACTATCAGAATATCCTCTTGGGAAAATGTCTATTCAAGTCTTTGCCCATTTAAAAATTGAATCATTTGTCTTCTGCTGAGTTGTAAGAGCTCTTCATTTATTTTGGATTCCATATGCATGATTTCCAAATATGTTCTTCTGTTTTGTGGGTTGTGTTTTATTCTCTTGATAGTGTATTAATGCATACACATTTAAAATTTTTATGTTTATTTTATTTATTTTTTCTTTGTTGCTTATACTTTTGGTATCATAGCAAGAAACCATTGCCACATCCAGAGCCATAGTGTCTTAGTGTCTGGCTTCTGTTCCAAGATTGGGAGCTGTGGCTTGCCCAAGGCCACGTCCCTAGAGCCCACATAGCTCAGCAACCTATGGATGCTCACTAAATGTTTGTGGGAGAGATGACTGTGTGATAGGTTAGGACCTGGCTGTTGGGAGAGGAGATCTAGTGTAGAAGTCCTGAAAAGAGCCATGAATGAGCTTCAGGGTGCTTTCTAAGCTGTGAGATGTTGTCTGACCAAAGAGGAGGATGTATATGGAAAAATTGTGGCATTCTGGGGATCGGGTAGCTGAGTGAGGCCTTCAACAATGACAAGAGCTTTTTGGATGTGATGATGGAAACTGGGATCCATGGAGGAGACTTATGAGTAGTGGAGAAAGATCATCGGAGACTGGAAGGCTGGCTGTGACTTAATATTCTTTACGCCACATTCCCTAGAATAGGGCACACGGTTCAGTAAATAATCTGGCAGCTTGATAAAAGGAGAATGTTAAGGTATTCACATATGAGGCTTTCCATAATATAGACCACCTTATATATGCTACTCTGTCTCACTTTGCTTCCAAACTTGAGCTGGTCCTTTTTACTAGACTTGTCTGTCTCTTGCCCCTCACTCTGGGGCTATCAGCTCATCTGCTATGCAGCCTCATAACTCTGCTTGAACACCATTGCCTCTCCTCTCCTGTCAAATTTTTCTCATTCTTCTGGCCTCAGCACTGATCCCAATTATCCACAGAATCCCAGTACTACCAGTTCACCCTAGCAGTGCTCAGCTCTGGTCAGATGAACTCACTGGAGCTTAGTGCTGCATGAACCTTAGGTTCAGGTGCAGGCAGCCCTAGGTACTGTATAACTCTGGGTGTGCCAATTTGCTTCTCTGCCTGGTTTCCTCATTGTAAAATGGTAGTGATAATACTATTATGGCTTGTAACTTTATGTCCCCCCAAAGCCTCATGTGCTGCTCATAGACAGGGCTTTTTGGAGCTGGCTGGGTCTACACAATGGGATTCTGGGATTAAGATTGTGTGGTACAAAATTAATCCACTGGTCGGAATTAGCATAGTTCTGGGTGTAGATAATGGAAGCTCCACGTTGGGTATGGGTGGTATCAATCAATAGGCTTGCAGCCTGCATGGAATATAAAGGGAGAGAGGGAAGGCAGGCTTGGCTGTTGCTGCTTGCTGCTTCACTATCTCCTGCCTGCTGGGCCATGGACTGTTTGTCCTCTGTGATGCCCCTCTGCCATGCCATGTTGCCTTAGAGCCAGCTAACTATAGACCAAAACCTCTATAGACTGTGAGCTGAAATAAGCCTTTCCTTCTTTAACTTGTAGGTGTTGGGTATTTTGTCCCAGCAATGAGAAAAGTAACTAAGACATTGATCAAATAATTTTGTGACAGTGAATCCTTTAGGAAAAGGTCCGGCTTAGAATAAGTAAGTGGTCAAACATGGTAGCTCTACTGTTCTCTAGTTGTTTTTGATACCTAAATCTTATTTCATCAGCAAGATTGTGGGTTTCAAGGTAGGAGCCAAGTCTTAGGCTTTTTTTTTTTGCCACTGGGCATCGAACTCGGGACCTTGCGCTTGCGAAGCAGGTGGTGGCACCACTGAGCTAAATCCCCAGCCTGTTTTAGGCTTATTTTTAACTAGTGTATCTGGTACAAAGCTAGTACTACAATAAATGCTTAAAAAACATTTGTTGGTTTGAGATGAGTTCATGATTACCCAAAATTACTTGCTTTAGAAGAGGGGACATTGTTATCCATTAACCTTTTTTTTAACCATTAACCTTTTTTTTTTGGTACCGGGGATCGAACTTGGGACCTTGTGCTTGCAAGGCAGGCACCGGAACCACTGAGCTAAATCCCCAGCCCCTATTGTTATAAAATTATGTATTATTCCATCGTTAATGTTGACAAACCCAACTTTTGCTTTGCTCTCTGGTGATTTGGGACTGATTTTTTTTTTTTTTTTTTTTTTTTGGTACCGGGGATCAAACTGGGGACCTTGTACTTGGAAGGCAGGTGGCAGAACCACTGAGCTAAATCCCTGGCCCAATTTGGGACTTATTTATGGTAATCTGATTGTATGTGTGATTGTGTGTGTATTAATGGGAGGGGTTGGTAACTGATTCTCCAAGGATCAGAACCAGGCTGGAGCTCAGCATCCTAACCTTTGCGTCTAGCTTTCCTGTCCAAGTCTGAGAGCCTGGGTTCTGACCTGCCCTGGGTAGCTGTCATGGCCCTTGCTCCCCTGGACAATAGTGCCCAGGCACTTCTCCATTCTTCCAGGCTGCCTTCACCACAAAAGGAATTGCCATGCTAAAGTATTTGCTTTGCCAGAGGCTCTTGCCCTGGTTGTATACAATCTCGGCAAACTGGCAAGTAGCAAATTCCCAATAAGTGTTGTATTTGGAGTGAGAGGCAGGGCCATGAACTCAAGAGTGGGCTTCAAGTGTTTATTTTTATTTTTATTTATTTATTTGTTTGGTACCGGGGTTCGAACTCGGGACCTTGCGCTTGCGAGGCAGGCACCGGAACCACTGAGCTAAATCCCCAGCCCCAAGTGTTTATTTTTAATGCAGGGCAGGGCATGTGGGTGTCCATTCTATAATATCATATCCACTGTGGGATTGAAATAGTAAATGTTTAAATTAAAAATATTTATTACACTAAAAGATACATTGCCATTAATCCCCCTTCAAGATACTCTCCCTTGCTTCAAACACATTTATCCCATTGTTGTCACTTTTGAAGCAGTTCTGGAGGTCCTCTTTTGTGTCTTTATGAGGTGTGATCACAAATGCGGCGATTGCTGCCACAGAGTACCATCCAACAGAAAAGCAGGCTTGTGAAAATATTACATTGTAACCTTATTCATCAGATCTGGCACTGTGAAACTTCTGACTCTTCCCCAAAGTCAAAATGACCTTGAAAGGTCAAAGTTTTGAATTAATTCAGGACATGGAAGCAGCTACAACAGTGCAACTAAAGATACTCGTGAAAGAGAACTTCTAGAACTGCTTCAGAAAATGGCAAGAATGATAGGATAAGTGTGCTCGAAACAGAGGGAGGGCGGAGGGTTATGGCAGTGTGTCTTTTAGTGTAATAAATTTTTAAAAATTACTCTACTTTTTGATTGCATCACATATGGTTTTTATATATTTTATTGCAGAGAAAGTACTCATTTTACGTATCTACATCTTTGGTCTCAAAAGTTGATTTTGTTTTTATTGTTTTCTTAGTTTATGTTTAATTGATGCAGCTGCTTTTAATCTAGCCTCTGATAACTTCAAGAATAACTGTCTGCATGCTAGTGCTCCATTCTCTGTCCAACCTTAAACTCTTTTTTTTTGTTGTTGTTTTTGTTTTTTTGAGACAGGGTCTCGCCGTGTAATTCAGGCTGGTTTTGAACTCACTATGTAGCCCAGGCTGTCCTCAAACTTGCAGCAGTCTTCCTGCTTCAGCCTCCTGAGTGCTGGGATTACAAGCATGCGCCACAATGCCTGGCCATGTAGTTATATTGTATATTCATTATTACATCCTATATTATCATGAATATTATGTAATCTTGAATTTGTTTATTCCAATGCATTATCCATAAGTAATACTGTATTTTTGAATATTTCTACCAATTTTTTGATTGCCATGTTTTGAGATTTGTCTATTGACAAGTAATTTGTCTATATTGACAGGTAATTTTTGACCTGTTTTAATATTCTCTTTTATAAAGAGAGCACAATCAAGGTATTTTTCCTGCTATTTGCAGTCAGTTTGTTGTTTGTCACTCTTGCAAACACTACTGTAGCAGATAATTTGATGCCCAGTCCTTGTGCTGAGAAGCAAGAGACTTAGGAGTTAGCTTGCCATGCCATGGAATACATCATTCCCATCACCTTGCTAGAAATTTCCATATCTGTCCCCCAAGTGGCTGTTCTGCTTGCCTTTCCCACTGGCAGTGCATGAGAGGTGATCTCAGCCCACATGCTCAACAACCTTTGCTGACATTATCTGCGTTTGCCTCTCTGTCCGAATCACTAGCTAAGGTAGGAGGCAAGGTGTTTTGATAGAGAATGTCAACTCTGTGCAATTTCTGTTACATGTATTTTATTTTATTTTATTTTTTTGGTACTGGAGTTCAATCTTGGGACCTTTCGCTTGTGAGGCAGGCACCGGAATCACTGAGCTAAATCCTTGGGCCCCTGTTACATTTATTTTAATGAGGACAAGATTTTGTTTTCTGTTTTAGTGAAAAAAATGTTCAGACTTAAGTGAAAAACTGTTAAATATTTGCTCTGGACTAGAGGGGCTGTTTTTGTTTTTTCTGTTTGCATTCTTGGCAAATAAGTGGGAAAGACCAATTAGCAAGCTAATGTTCTAAATGTTCACTTGAAGTAACTGTTACCTTGAAATGTTTTAAATAGCATGGAGCATTAGGTTTATTCTTACTGCTTTTTGAAGTTTGGAATCCTGTATGTTAAAATTGACATAATCTTATGGATAAAGATTGTTCATAATTATTTGCTAGTCCATATGTATTTTGTGTTGGAAAAAATAAATGATGGGAAAATGTGTTTCATTTGAAAATAGATAACAGTCATAAAGAGTAACTTTGGCCATTTTGTATTGTTTCTTGTGCTCGTAGTGGGGAAAGGAGAAGTTTCATAAATCTCAACATTGGGGCTTTTGCAACAATGTTAGAATGCTGGTGAGTGAAGAGAAGCCTGGAATAGGTGGAGAACCACTTATTGGGCAAAAAGTGAAGACTAAATACAGGATATATCCGAAAGGAGAAGGAACTGATGTACCGTCATGGGTAGCTTTTGATAGACAGGTAAGTCATATGACGTTGCAATCTTACAGTTTTAAATGTGGATTTGAGAAAATTAGGGTCTTCAATGTAAATGTTAAAGCTAGCTTTTGGTTTTTCTTTTTTCTCTTTCATACTTATTATTGCCTTTATTTGTAGTGTTTCCCAATTTTATTGTTTTAAGTTGACAAATAAAAATTATGTACAGTTGGGGGAAGTCCTCTGTATCTGGAGAGTTCAATGTGGACTCACCAACTTGTGACTGAAAATTTTTGAAAGAAAATGTTGAGCCTGTATTGAACATGTACAGACTCTTTTTTCTTGTCATTATTCCCAAACAATGTAGTATAACAGTTATTTACACAGCATTTACATTGTATTAGGTGTAATAAGTTATCTAGAGATGATTTTAAGTATGTGAGTGGATATGTGAAGGTTATATGGAAATACTATGCACTTTTATATTAGGGGCTTGAATATCCTTAGATTTTGGTATCCATGGGGTCTTGGAACAAATCCCCCACCAAATACTGAGGGATGACTATATACTTCTGAAGTACAACATGTTGCTTTGAAATATGTCCACATCATGGGCTGGCAAAATCAAGCTAATTAACGTACGCATTACTTTACATACTTTGTGTGTTGTGTGTGTGTGTATGTGTGTATGTGTGTATGTGTGTTGAGAACATTTAAAATCTACTCTAAGAATTTTTGAAGTATATTGCTATTAGTTAAAGTCACCATGCTGGACAGTAGAGCTCTTGAACTCATTTCTCCTAACGGAAGTTTTATATGTTTTCGCTTAGACTGCTTCTTGGCTCGCCTTAGGCCAAAAGACAAATTTAAGAAAAACACTCTTAAGCAAAGACTAGTTATCCTTCCTCTGTATTGGTTGCAGGATGCCAGATATCCATCTTTCTTGGCTAATGCTTATCAACCTTTTTCTCATCTCCTTCGGACAAGATAATCTGTCCTTCTGTAGACACTTGAGTCTGTTCAGATGGTCACTTTTGCCTAGTGAGTTGCTATTAACCAAGTAATTGTGTTGGATTTTGAATGTGGTGTTAAGTAGAAACAGAAAAAGGCTGGGGTGCAGCTCAGTGGTAGAGCACTTGCCTACCATGTGCCAAGCCCTGGATTCACTCTCCAGCACCACAAAAAGAAAAATAACCTCCCCCGCAACAAAAACCAAAATCCAGAGAGATGCCTTCGATTCACTTCATATTGATTATGGTTTCCTATCCTTGAATAAAGGGTGACATGGCAAGAATTACAGAAGTGAGCTGGGTGTGGCAGCTCATTCCTGTAATCCCAGCACACGGGGGGCTGAAGCAGAAGGATCGCTTCGAGGCCAGCCTGGACTACATAGTGAGTTCAGACTATGTAGTGAGACCCTGTCTGAAAAAACAGAAAAAACAAAAACAAACAAATGAAAGAATTATAGAAATGAAAGGAAGATATGCCATTATTGAACAAGAGTCTGATTTGATTTGAGACAGGGTCCCACTGTGTAGTCCAGGATGACCTTGAACTCTGCTGTGTAGCCCAGGCTGACCGAAAACTCATGATTCTCCTGCCTCACTCTCCTGAGTGCTGGGATTACAGGCATGCACCCTATGCCTGGCCTAAGTCTGAAGTTTTTAATGTATATGTTTACAGATAACACACACACAAACACACACACACACACACACGCTCGCTGACATACCCATAGTTGAACAACGAAATGCAGTTTGAGTATCTCTGTTTTCAGTCTAGTGATGAAATCCGGGGTCTCTAGCAGGTAGACAAGGGCTCTACCACTATGATACATCCATGGGTCTTGAGCATCTTTATTTTATTTTATTTTATTTTTTTTGGTTCATACTTGTTTCCTATTTATTAAAGTCCAGGTTACTATCACATGGCTTGGTACTCAGTAAAGGTAAACTTGTTCAAATAATGTAATATGTTATCATCAGCATTTCCAGGTGATTGTTCACAATCAAGTGGCACTGTCAAGAAATCCTTGAGAGGGAAGCCCTCTGTGGGTTACACTTTGTCAAGCAAGGCCCAGCTCCTCTGGAGTGGAGATTCCCAGTTCATTCAGAGTTCCTTTCAGTTCCTCAATGACATAGGGGTAGATTTCCTTATGAGGTCTTGCTTTGTCTTTAACCACCTCTAGGATCCGAACAGCACTAGCAAAATCATTTAACCGTCTGCATGCCCACTAAGCAGCATCAGTGATTTTGGGTTCTGGAAGCAGATCGTAGCCAGCAACCGTGTTCATCCCTTTAAGCAATTCCCTGGCATCTGTGTCTGGCTTGTTGAAGTATGTCACCCAGTGTGCATCAAATTTCTCATCTGTCTCCTGTGACCAGTGGGAATATCAGTGAGCTGACTAGATAGCGGTGATGGGACAGCCGGGTGGGGGTGGGGAGCTTGGCTAGGGCAGCCGCTGATACCTCGCTGGGAGAGGAGAGGAGAGTGGTGGTGCCCAGCATGAAGGCGCTGCTAGCACGTGGGCTGAGCAGATCTTGAGTATTTTATTTATTTACTTTTTTTTTTTTTGGTACCGGGGATCGAAAGGACCTTGCGCTTGTGAGGCAGGCGGTGGAACCACTGAGCTAAATCCCTGGCCCAGGTCTTGAGTATTTTAAAAAAGGGACTAAGATCAAAGGGAAAGAAACCCAAGATTACCAGCTATTTCCCGTAAGGTAGCCATATGGGAAGACTGTGTTAAGACAGCCCTATGTTATAACCTCATGTTCTCTTATACAAAAGAACCTGTTACTAGATTATTTTAGACCCTGCAATTAAAAAAGAATTCAAGACTAGATATAGAATTCAAATCATAGTAGTCTAAGTTTACCAGGTGTGTGTGTTTTAAATTTTAAATATTTATTAACACTTGATTGGTTGGCAATACTTTGATTCTAGTTAAAATGTCCTCAAATATAGTAGAAGTGACATATCCCCATGTAATTGTTACAGCACACACTTTTTTTGAAGCTGAGTTCTAATACAATATAGAGATCTAACATACCACAGAGAGAGTTCCTTTCCTGAGAAACCATCTCTACTTTCAACATGGGCCAGTATTTCTCTTTCTCTCCTTTTGATTTATTTTTTATTATTTTCAGTACCTGGCTCAGTGGTGGAGCTAGAACTCAAAAACAATTTGTGGGTTGACCTACTTGGGGTGATTATGCATGGTTATTTGTTAGTCACAATTTTGTAGGATATTTATTTTGTAAGGGCCAAGGAAAGATTTATTAATTTTTTTAACCTCTGATGTCCAAAGGAGAGTTTTGACAGTATTTTAACTAATTCATTACTGAATTAAGTAACTTAGGCCACAGTTTATTGAACCATTCACTTGCATTTAAAGTTAAAAGTTCATTTTATTTCATGTTTTCCTCAATATTTAATATGTGCCTTTTAAGCTTATTTTGCAGGCCTTTAATTACTTATAAAATTATGTAGAATATTTCATGAAGTTGAAATAACTTTAGCTTCAGACTGCTTGAGAAAATGAAGAGCTTGCTCATTTCAGATCTAACTAAAGGCAACATAATTCTTTCGCTTATTTTGTTGGTCAACTTCAATTAAATATTTATTGAGGTTTAAATGAGACCCTAAGACTATGAAATATTTATGTGTCCTGATGAGATTGTGAACTACAGACTAGATCCTAGTTAATACCCAGAGCAAATTATAAAGCGCTTTCTCCATTAGCGGTTAAACAAAACAAGTCAACGCCTGTTAATCATTTTTCTTAAAAACGAGATACTTTCAACTAATTGGCAGTTTTTCCAGTAGCTGTTAATCCTAGCAATATATCTAGGGTTATACTGTCACCACACAAAGTGAAAATAAAAGCAATTCTTTGGAGAGTGAATTAAAATTAGTATCTGTAGTAGGCGTTGTGGTGCAGATCCCTCTTACCGGCCATGTTCCCATCCCCCAGCTGCAAATGTTTTGACGCATGCTCAGACCTGTAACACTCTGGAGATTTGCTCTTGGCTGCTGGGAATTGCAGCTCCCAGAGACTCCTGGGAAGTGACGTTGGACCCTCTCTTCCAAGAGTAGGCAGCCAGTGACTGAGTGATTTAACAAGGGTAGGAAGTTTAGCTTCCTTGCCTCAAGATGGACAACTCTGCTATGATTTTTTCTCCCCAGTCCCGTGTGCATCAGGTCAAGTCCGGACCTGAGACTGCATCTTCCCTTGTTTCATTTCCCTTTCCTCTGGCTGTCTCTTTCACTCTTACAAGTTTCTCTCCAAAGTGGGACCTTAATAAATCAGCTGTGCCTTAATTCATTTCAGCTTGTGCTTCTATAGAACTGAACCTAGGATGACATTCCAGTTTTTATCCTTAATTATAAAAAAGTGATCATCAAAATGCTCTGCTTAGGTAGACCGTCACATTACCAGTGGAGAAAATGCTATGTGCCATCAGAAAGAGCCGGCATTTGTAACCCTGCATGGTCCCCATGGTGGACACTACTTACTTGTTATTTCTCCTTCATTTTCTTTTCTTTTTTTCTTTTTCATTTCCTCCACTACCGAACCCCCCTGCCCTGTGCCTTTTTGCCTTTTTTATTTTTCCTCCTGAGACAAGGTTTTTCTATATAGTCCAGGCTGGCCTCAAACTCTGTAGTCCAAGGGTGAAAAATAAGAACCAAGAGAGACTATGT